ACACATGTGCTCTTACAGAGGCTAAAGTTTACCTGTGGCACACAAGGTGGGAGGTAGGGGGAAGAGGGGTCTTTGCACGAAGTAATGCAGAGGCTGCTTCTTAATGGCACGTGGACTCATTATGTGGTGGAATCTACATTGAAAACACAATCATACATGACATTGTAAGAGGTCTAATCTTTTAAACTCAAAGTTCTACTTCACACACTTTATAAAAGAAGTCAGTAAAATTGAAGCCTAACTCGCAACAAAAATAATTAGAGCTGACTTTTCATTTTCCATTCACATTATTTCGATGTATGTAGGTCACAACCGAACAACTCATAGAGCGTAAGTGGAAACTCACAGCCTTGATATTGGGTATTCAAAAGAGTGTAACATCTGGGCATAAGGAACAACTGTATCCACATTCGTGACTTATAACTGTAGTCTGAGACTCGTTGCTGGTCAGGAAGAAGCACAGAATTGCAAGCTTTTCCCCCGTCTTCTTTTAAGACTAGGTAACAGATCCACATGGTGCACAATGAACAAAAGCACACATAGTAAAGGGGGCTTCCTTGTGTTCTGTCTCCTACAAGCCTCCCTCTTTAGAGATGACCTATATCACCTACTGTGAAAAATATCGGAATGCTTCCAAAAAATCTAAAAGGATGTTATTATTCTCCTCCAAACTGCAAAAGAAGCTAGCCTGCGTTTTTGACTGGAAACATATTCACTCTGTTGGAGAAATGCTGATTGGCTTTGATAAATTAAAAACAAGAAGAGTTATGGGAAAAACAACAATACTGGATAGGAAATAAAAGGAGACTTTTAGGCTGCAAAATTTTTGAACTCTGACGCAATTCACTTCCAGGTTCTACTGCTGCCCAGTGGCACTGCCGATTCATTGGAGTCGCTGAGGAATTTTAAGCAGGAGTCACGTTAGTAATCACATAAAAGGTGAATAAAAATCCCTTATCTTATTATTCCCACCAAAACACGCAGGAAGGCAAGGACAGGGGTCAGATTACCTAGACTGCCATTGTTTCTTAGAGACCTGGGATTCTGCTTATTACAAAGCAAGAGTGAGCGATTCACTGGGTTACAGATGATTTAATGATCTTTCTTTTGAGTAATTGTTAGACGCTCTTTCTGAGTAAAATACAACTTGAATCGGGGCATTTGTTGCTGTTAGGTGCCAGCGAGGTGGTTCTGACTCAGAACAGAACTAAACACTGCCCGATCCCATGCCACCCTCGCCAACCGTCCTTACGTTTGAGCCCACTGACCACTCTCCGCTCCTTTTCGTGAGGTTTTCAGTATCTGACAGTGTTCTACTAACTGTAAGGTTTTCAGGGCTATTTCCTCAGAACTGGACAGCCTATTCCTTCTTTGTGGTCTTAGTCTGGAAGCTTCCCCGAAGCCTGTCCCCTTTGGGTGACTCCATTGGCTTTTGAAATACCAGTGACATAGCTTCCAACATCACGTCCAAGCAACGTACAAGTCACCACCATACATCGAAACTGACAAGACACAGGGGTATTACAGGGATGTCCCTCAGAGAGGGCTTCTTAAAGGAACGCTGGGGTGGAATAAAAGGTGAGCATTAGAGGCCAAGTGGAAACAACACTGAATGAGGAGTCAGGGTATCTGTGAAGCCCCCACCACTCCCCACACTGGCTCCAAACAAAATGGATGGGGTGAGGTCATCACCACTTCAAATGGTCTAAGTACTGCAGGAACGGATCCCCAGATGGCATCAACAGTTCAGCCCCAGACTACCGGCTGAAAGCAACCAACATTATAGCAATCATGAGTCATTATTGACCAATATCTCTCTTACAAGTTCATCAAAGGGAAGGATGGTTTCCATTTCTTGATACTAGTAACCAGTTCCATGGCCTTTGCTCATCTTTAAAAGGAGGTTAATATTCACAGCTACTTCCTAAGAAACAGGGCAAAGTTGGCTCCAGATGAAACATTTCGGTGGCAGGCCACACCTATAAGAAGGGCTATTACCACCATTGCCACCGTTTAATAAAACCCCAGATCAACCTCACTGCCGTTGGGTCATTTCAACTCACAGCAGTCCTGTGGCAGAACTGCCCCCTGGGGTTTCTGAGACTAAAATTTTAGAGATGCTCACAACCACATCTCTCTTCTTGGGACCTGATTGGTATGGATGCAGACCTGGCAGTGAACCTATACCACCATCAGGGCTCATTACATAATAGGTAATTGCCTACCTACCTACTGCCATGGAGTTGAGTCTGATTCCTATCGACCCTATACAACAGGGTAGACGAGCAGCTGGTAGATTAGAACCCTTGACCTTGTGAAGAGAAATCTAATGCTTAACCCACTAGGACTCCTTGATAATCCCTTATGAACTTAATTGGCATTCAAGATGTGCGGGAAAACAAAGCAAAACAAAAACACCTCTATCTGGATATAGTTCTCTGCCCAAGCCTCCCAGGGCTACTCTAGAATTTGGAAAGATTCTGGAAGGCCAGGGTTCTTGTGCATGCAGTCCAACAAAAAAGAAATTAGGCATCAGATGGTGTAACTATGCAGCACATTCTGACACAGGTAGGCTTAAAGTTTTTACCAGGAAACAACAACACGTATACACAGTGAAAACTGTGAGGGCAGGAATTCCAAGCCTCCCTTCTTTTCCCAAGTTTTCTGCCCTGACCCCCTTCCTACCTATACTGCTCTGCCTGAGTGGGCAAGACTGGAGCTTTCTCTCTCTGACAGCTTTCTGGCTCTTTCCGCAAGTCTGACGGCATGCCATCAGGGGGCTTCACAAAGTTCGTGGGGGGAACCTCATTCTCCTTTAATCCTATTTTCCACAAACTTGACGTTTTCGGTCCCTTGCCGGTCAAAAGATGAGGTGGCAGGAAGTGACTGCCAAGGAAACAAATCCTGCTGAGAACTGAATTCCTGAAGGAAACGCACTTAGAGGTCACGGGCCCTGATGCTCAGATGGGGTCAAACACTCCCTTCAGGGCACACCTCCGAAATAGTTGGCCCCTTCCCCCCACGTGTTGGTGGACACGCCCGGGGCGGGGCACACGGAAGGGGTGGAGTACGGGGTGCGAGGGGTCTAAGTGATGGGGAGCATGTCTAGGGGGCTGCGTGCGCACCGGGGTTCCATCGCTTACAAGCTGCGTGACCTCATGGGAGCCACAAAGCCGTTCCGGGCCTCCGTGGGGGGCATCGGAAACAAACACCGGGCAAGGTGTCCTCTCCCGCGCTGACTGGAGCGCCGGAGGACGGAGGAAGGGTGCACGTAGTGCAAGGGTTGGGGGACCCTCGGCCAGCACCTGGGGGCTGCCCGCGGCGGAGGCTGGGGTCCCGGCCTCACGCCCGGCACCAGGCTCGACCTGACGGCGGTGCCCATCCGAAAAGCACCCGCCCCCTCTCTCAGCCCGGGAGCATCTCGACGCGGAGTCTTGCGTTGGCACCTACCGGCTGCGCAGCCCCGGCGCGGCGGCC